TGTCCTGGAACTAGCTCTGTAGACCAGGCTGGTCTCGAACTCACAGAGATCCGCCTGCCTCTGCCTCCCGAGTGCTGGGATTAAAGGCGTGCGCCACCACTGCCCGGCCTAATATTTTGTTTGTTATCTAATGAAGTTTGCATAAAGATCAGAGTGCAGAGCTAAGCTACTAGTTAGCCATAGAGGCCAGGCAGCTGGATCTCTGTTGAGTTTAAAGCTACCTGGGCTACACTAGATTGATCCAGTCTCAAAGAGCTCACACCTTTAATCCCAGCACTAGGGAGGTAGAGACAGGAGTCAAATGGCTGGGTAGAGAGAATATAAGGTGGGAGGAGAAAGGAGCTCAGATGCAGTCTGAGGATTCCTGGAGACAGGATCGCCTCTTCAGTCTGAGCATTGGTAGAGGCAAGAACTCTCTGGTAGGGCTGGAGAGATGGCTCAGTGGTTAAGAGCATTGCCTGCTCTTCCAAAGGTCCTGAGTTCAATTCCCAGCAACCACATGGTGGCTCACAACCATCTGTAATGAGGTCTGGTGCCCTCTTCTGGCCTGCAGACATACACACGGACAGAATATTGTATACATAATAGATAAATAAATATAAAAAAAAAAGAACTCTCTGGTAGCTGACTGCTCCACTTTTCTGATCTTCAGCATTAACCCCTATATCTGACTCTGAGTTTTTATTATTAAGACCAATTAGAATTCGAGCTACAGTAAGATTAGACAGGTCTACATGGAGAATCTGTCTCAAATAAGGAATGCAGAGCTAGAGACAGTGCTAGTAGTTAAGAGTACTAGTTACTTTTCAAAAAAAAAAAACCTGGATTTTTAGTACACATGTGGTGGACCATATTCATCTCTAACTCCAGTTCCAAAGGTTCTGATACTATCTTCTGGCTTCTATGAACACCTGGCATCCACATGGTTCACAGATATTTATGTACCCAAAACACCCATATACATAAAATACTTTTTTCTTTCTTTCTTTCTTTCTTTCTTTTTTTTTTTTAAACAGGGTTTCTCTGTGTAACAGTTAATGGCTGTACTAGAACTCACTCTGTAGACCAGGTTGGCCTCAAACTCACTGAGATCCACCTGTCCCTGCCTCCCAAATGCTGGGATTAAAGATGGGCCACCACTGCCCAGCAAAATAATATTTTTTAAAAAGGACAAAGATATGAAAAAGCAAAGCAACTGAAACCAAGAACACTCTTCATTTTTATTTGAGAGAAATTGGCCTCAAACTCTTGTCTGTCTTCTGATACTAGCAATGGAGCCTGGGTTACCATATGTGCTGGCTGTTTCAGGTGCTTAAAGGATACAAAGATGCCAACTCTTTCACAAGTTAAAAGTTGTAGCTACAAACAGGAAGATCTATAGATAAAATCCCTGTACTTCCTGCCCCGTGGGTGGATGAGTGTTAGCCAGAAATTAATGTCAAATACCTGGCTTTCTCCACTTTATTTTTTGAAACAGGGTCTCTTATTGAACCTGGAGCAAGCCAATTCTGCTAAGCTCTGGCTGGCTGGCTGGCTGGCTGGCTAGCAAACCTAGGATCTTCCTATTTTTGCCTCCTCCGTATCTGCTGGGATGACTGGTATCTACCACACTGGCTTTTACATGAGTACTGGAAGAAGGTCCTCATCTGCCCATGAAACAGGTACAGATTCTTTAATAAAGAACCCAACCTTTGCTTATGCCTCCCATCGTCATCTTAGATCCAATCCAGAATGTAAGCCCTGTTAGGGTTTAAGTATTTGTTGATTCACTGATGGTATGCTTTGTTGGTCATTTTCTATTTATTATAAAATCTATAAGCAAGAAACAAAACTAATCAGTCTTACCATTAGGTTTCAGCATATTTCTCAAGTTCTACAATGAATGAGAATGACAACACTCAGAAATGTCCTCAGTGACCTCAGGAGAAGAGTGATTATCTCTCTTTTAGAAAGGAAGTGCTGGGCTGTGGTGGAGCACGCCTTTAATTCTAGCATTTGGGAGGCAGAGTCAGGCGGATCTTTGTGAGGCTAGCCTGGTCTACAAGAGCTAGTTCCAGGATAGTCTCCAAAGCTACAGAGAAACCCTGTCTCAAAAAAACCAAAAAGAAAGAAAAAAAGAAAAAGGAAAACGTCATGTCTGGTCTTGCTAAGAATAGACGAGGAGCCACTTCTTCTGAATGTCCAGAATATAAGATAATTTCATGTCTTGGTTTACAGATGGAGGAACATCACAGCATATATGATTACTTTTACAGACTGAATGGGAGTTGGAGAGAATTCAGCAAGTTAAGCATTTATTGTGGAAATACAAGGGCCTACATTTGGATTTACAGCACCCATGTAAATGCAGATGAGCATGATAACTCACTTATAATCCCAGCACTTGAAAAACAAACAAGCTAGCTAGCTAGACTAGCCAAACCAGAGAGTTCTGGGTTCAATAAGAGATTCTGCCTCTATATATGTGGTAGAAACCTGAAGAAGACACACAACATCAACTGCTAGCTTCCACAGCACATGAATACAAGCACACACACACTACCATCACTACCATCCAAAACAGAGACTGAAGGAAGGGATCTGAGACATAATGAACTATTTGCCACAAATATTGTTACTAATAAAGACATTGATTTATTCAGGTAGCACTTACTGACTACCTGCTACTGGCAGAACAATAAAACCAAGGAAAATGGTTTTGCAAGGAGGGTCTGTGTCTGTGTGTGCATACAGAATAATATTGTAAAGTTACTATCCCTGTCTAGGTTATTACCAACACCCGAAGTAATGACTATTCTCTGTGCAGATCTTAAGATGATGGGGAAAAAAACTTGCATATTCAATCAGACATCTACTTTTGAAATTGATTGAAAATAACTATTTTTAAAATCATGACATTCATATTCTCCCTTAGGAACTAAGGTCACCAGGTAAAGTTTAGAAAAGAATGTGCCTTTACTTCATGACTTTCTCTAGGTCCTGCCCTCACTCTCTCTTGCTCCCCTTTGGTTACAAGTGTCTTGAAAGAGTGTCTACTCACCATCCCATCCTCACTTTCCATCACTCCTCAAATCAATGCAATATGGCTTCAGTCACTATGAAACTGCTCCTGCCAAGGTCAATAATAATCTACATGTCAGTAGGGTAAAGATAACCAGAAATCTTCATCTTGCTTGACCTCTTGGCAGTACTGGACACATCTGGCCACTCTCTGCTCCAGAAAGTGTGTTTCCTTCACAATCTAAAGCACTGCTCTGTCTTGTCTTTTTGTCCACTCAATTTGACCTTTCTCCACTGGTTATTTGGATTGTGATTCTGAGGCTAGCCACAATGTTCTCTAGTCCCCATTCTTACTCTGCACACACACTCCCCCTGAGGAGCTTATCTATAATATATCTTAAAATACCATTTTATACGATTAATTCACCAGATTCAGATTTGCTTCCGAACTCTATGTCTGAATTTAACTTTCACATGAATATCTCCATTTGGAATTTATGCTCAAGGACCTCAAACTAAATATGCATAAAACTTAACTCATATTTTCTTCATCATCCCTAAGCCTTTCCTCCATTCTCCTCTAGGCTTTCCTAGAGGTACTATTAACCACTCAGCGGTCCACCCCTAAACCCACAAATCCTTGATGTCTCCTCCTTGCTATGACTACTCGAGTAATTTCCAACTGGATGGATTCTAGCAGCTAAACATGTCTTAATCTTTCTGTTCTTTTCATTTCCACTAAAACCATTCATATCCAAACAACTACTACTACTACTAATTCCTGGATTACTTAACAACTATTTACCCTAAATCATTCTTTTTTTTTTTTTTTTTTTTTTTTAAATATTTATTTATTATGTATACAATATTCTGTCTGTGTGTATGCTGCAGGCCAGAAGAGGGCACCAGATCCCATTACAGATGGTTGTGAGCCACCATGTGGTTGCTGGGAATTGAACTCAGGACCTTTGGAAGAGCAGGCAATGCTCTTAACCTCTGAGCCATCTCTCCAGCCCCTCCCTAAATCATTCTTTTGCTTTTCAGTTTTACTCTCCACACTGAAAACAGAGCACACTTTCAAAATCACCAAGCCACGGGTTGGAACGACGGCTCAGAAGTTAAAAGCACTTGTTGCACCTTCAGAGGACCTGGATTTGGTTTTTCAGCACCCACATGATGGTAACAACTGTAGGTACCTCCAGTTTCAAAGAATTCAACATCCATTTCTGGTCCTTTGCAGGCAAGGCATGTATGTAGGAATGCGGGCAAAACGTTTAAATCTGTTTTTAAAATTTCAGGACTAGAGTGATACTCTGGTTAAGAGCACTGGCTGCTCTTGCAGTAAAACCAGGTTCGGCTCCCATCACCCACATGGTGGATCACAACCATCTGTAACTCCAGCTATAGGAGATCTAATCCCCTCTTCTAGCTCCACAGATGCCAGGCATACAGGTGATGCACAGATATACACACACACGCAAAACACCCACACACATAAAATAAAAATAATTTTAAAAAGTTCTAAATGCCAAACGAGGATGGGAGGTACAGTTCAGTGGCACAGTGATTGCCTAGTATGTTTGTGCACCACTAAAATAAAATAATCATAATCATTGTATCAGTCTTGCCTATATAAAATCCCTCAGTGGCTAAATACCGCCTTTGAAATAAAATCTTCAAGGGGCTGGAGAGATGGCTCAGTGGTTAAGAGCATTGCCTGCTCTTCCAAAGGTCCTGAGTTCAATTCCCAGCAACCACATGGTGGCTCACAACCATCTGTAAAGAGGTCTGGCGCCCTTTTCTGGCCTTCAGGCATACAGACAGAATATTGCATACATAATAAATAAATAAATAAATAATAAATAAATAAATATTTTAAAAAAATCTTCAGCTGGGCGGTGGTGGCGCACGCCTTTAATCCCAGCACTCGGGAGGCAGAGGCAGGCGGATCTCTGTGAGTTCGAGGCCAGCCTGGTCTACAAGAGCAAGTTCCAGGACAACAGGAGTGCCCTTGACGGGCAGGCCGGCTGGGCTGTGGTCCCTCCGCTCGAGCTGCCGGGAGATGGCTCAGCGGCTTCTCCTGAGGAGGTTCCTGACCTCGATCATCCCCAGGATGCCCCCTCAGGGTGGGTGGGCTCCCCTCACCCCTAGAACCCAGCAGACCCCACAGCACGGTCATGGTGGTCTGCCAGGAACGGCCAGCCCAGCCCGTATGTTGCACACCACCAGAGTCTGCTCAACGACCTTTAATGTCCAGGACGGACCTGACTTTCAAGACAGAGTTGTCAACAGTGAGACTCCAGTCGTTGTGGATTTCCATGCGCAGTGGTGTGGCCCCTGTAAGATCCTAGGACTGCGGTTAGAGAAGATGGTGGCCAAACAGCATGGGAAGGTGATGATGGCCAAGGTGGACATTGACGACCACACAGACCTTGCCATCGAGTATGAGGTATCAGCTGTGCCTACAGTGCTGGCCATCAAGAATGGGGACGTGGTGGACAAATTTGTGGGCATCAAGGATGAGGACCAGCTGGAAGCCTTCCTGAAGAAGCTGATTGGCTGACAAGCAGGAAAGAGTCATGGCTGCCCTTGCTTGCTGGAGCCTGTTTGGGGAGGAGCCTAGTAGAAGTCCCTGAGCTGTCATCCTTCCTGCCCCACCCCTGTCTTGTCCCCGTGGGTCCGGCCTTTGGCAGCAGACCTCCAAACTAGAAGCCACCAGGGCTGCAGAGCCAGCTCTCAACCAGGGTGGCCAGCAGGGGAGCAGTGCTGCTGGCGTGGGGGCATTCTGGGCACCTCCTGCTGTCTGCTCCTTCGAGGGCCTGTCCTTATTCCCCCACATGCTAGAAGAGCCTGGGCAGGCTCAGTCCCCATCAGCAGTCCTCTGAACCACCAGCCCCCCTCTCCCGCCTCTGACACTCTCTTCTGCCCCAGTTTGAAAACAGAAACCAGAAGCTGAACAAGCGAGAGTAATGTGTGATTCTCTCATTTTTTGTAGGTCTATAATAAAGAACTTTCTATGAAAAAAAAAAAAAAAGAGCAAGTTCCAGGACAGGCTCCAAAACCACAGAGAAACCTTGTCTCGAAAAAACAAAAAACAACAACAACAAAAAAAAGAAATAAAATCTTCAAAGAGCTTCCCCCTATTACATGCCTATTATCTTGAACCTGTGCCGCCAGACACCCTTACTGAACATTTTTTTTGGATAATTCCTACCTACCTTTTAGGTTTCATTCATTCATATATATTCTTTTTTTTTTTTTTGAGACAGGGTCTCATGCTGTCTTGTTGTAAAAACTAGCCTTAAACTCTGATGCTCCTGATTACTAGGAGAATGGGGTATGCCACTAGGCCCAAGTAATTATCACTTTATAAAGGTAGCCACTTTAACTAGGCTAGAGCTTCCAGCTACAGCTACGGTCACTCATTTAAAAGATACCCATTCTTCACGTTCAATGTATACAAATCACTGTGGATACAGCAGCATGTATGAGTGTTAGTACAAGTCTGTAATCCCAACTCTCAAGAAGACAGAAGGATCTAGAGTTCAGGATCATTCTTGGCCATGTACCAAGACCAACTTGGGCTACAAGAGATACTGCCTCAGGGCTGGAGAGATGGCTCAGAGGTTAAGAGCACTGACTGCTCTTCCAGAGGTTCTGAGTTCAATTCCCAGCAACCACATGGTGGCTCACAGCCATCTATAATGAGACCTGGTGCCCCCTTCTGGCATGCAAGCATACATGGAAGGAATGTTGTATACATAATAAATAAATAAATCTTTAAAAAAAGGAGATACTGCCTCAAAAAATCAAAATAACAATAATTAAAAACTTTTTTTGGGGGGGGCGGTTTAAGACACAGTGTCTCTAAGTAGCCCTAGCTGTCCTGGAACTCACTTTGTAGACCAGATTAGACTTGAATTTAGAAATATACCCACCTCTGCCTCCCAAATGCTAGGATTAAAGGCGTTCCACCAACCTCACCTTTTCTAGTTTCTTATAGAAAAGTCTAATTATTTTACACGTTCTAATCCCATGGCATCCTGCATTTCTCCTTAATTATTAAAACAAAACACACCGATACCAAGTACCTCTACTTGGTACTCCACGTCACCATTTTATCTCTAGCACCAAGACAGGATTTCACACTAGATGCCACCTCTATAAACTACACTCAATGTCAGCACTTTACACGAGTTATTTGGAGAACGAAAGAATAAAGCCACAACTCATGAAAAAGACTACTATACACTTTAATTAGTCAACCCATTAAAAACAGAAAAGCTAATCTTCACAATGAACAGATCATGAAAACATCAATGCTTTACTCCAGTATCTAGAAAACACATGGGAAAACAGCCAAGTATTGGTCCCTATACTAACTGTATTTCTAATAAATAGCTCTAGCTCACAAATACAAGTTTTCTTCACATAATTTCATATACTAAGTTAGGAAGAAATTGCAGAAGGAATTTAAAATCACATTGCTGAAAATGCCAATGAAATAATTTACTTATGCAGAGACCATCAATGGGTGAGTCACCAAATGCAAGACTGACAGAAGTTCAACAGTGAGGGACCAGACTGCCCCCGAGCAAATCCACTGACCAAGCTCAGCATCAGAAGAGTGGGACAAGCAAGCACTCTCATGTCGGGCACAAATACAGACCACGCAACACTTACGCACTACACTTGGCAAATAACAACTTGAACTTCAGCGTAGTGTTTTGGAGCTAACATCTAATTTATAAAAAGAAAATAGAAGACGTAGAATGTAGGATGATCTAGAGGACGACAGATTTCTCATCAAATTCAGGGGTATACAGTAAAAAAATAAAATAGGAAACTTTGTTCTAGATCAAGGGTCCTCAAAGAAGGGTGGCTCTTCCCTCCAGAAATGATGGTGATGTATCTAGCAAGTGGGCCATTGTTAGAGACATTAGTAACCAGTCTGCAATGAACAGGACAAACATCCCTCAACAAAAAGGTCCCAAATGTTTATAGTTTTGAGTCTGAAAAACCCTAATCTACACAGTAAGAATCTTCTATTTATCCTTGGATCTTAATTTAAACAAATCAACAAAATATAACTGACACAGGAAAATTTTAATAAGGAATTCCTTTGAATTCTGCTAGAATGAGACAAGAGGGAAATCTAAAGGGATTAAGTGTTAGACGATATAAAAAAGACTTACACTTTTATAATGTGCTTAACCTAAAAAAGATCTTGGTTCAGCCTGATGGTGCATGTCTTTAAGGTAAACAGAGGCAGACAGATTTCTTTAAGTCAGAGACCAGCCTAGTCTACTCTACATAGTTAGTTCTAGGCCTGTCAAGGCTACACAGTGAGGCTCTGTTTTATTTTTTAAGAAATGAAAGGTTGCCTCCACCCCCTTTTTTCTTTCTGTTTAAAGCTAGGCACCTGAGGCCTGAAAGATGGCTCGGCAGGGAAGGACCTTTCAGAGAGCCAGACCCCACAGGTGGTCCTCTGCTCTCCACGTGGACACAGCAGCACATGTACACCCCTCCTCTCCTGCCACACACACAATAAATAAAATGCAATAGAAAAAAAACGTTTTTGCTGGGTAGTGGTGGCACATGCCTTTAATCCCAGACTTGAGAGGCAGAGGCAGTTGGATCTCTATGAGTTCAATCTGGTCTACAAAGCAGATTCCCAGGACAGTCAGGGCTGTTACAATGAGAAACCCTGTCTCAAACAAACACAAACAAACCAAAAACAAAAAAACAAAAAAAAAAAAAAACCAAACAAACAAAAAATATGGAAACACTGGAGATAAGGATGTAGCTTTGTAGTACAATACTCAATTAGCATGCTCAAGGCACTAAGGGCTTGATCACAGTATGGAAAAAAAGGAAAAAAATGACCATTAAATGGCAATCTAAGATTTGCTTTAAAATGTTTTAAAGACTACATCAAAATTGTAACACCTTTTAAAATGATGGGCATTTGTGATATTTTCTCTACATAATGTTTAAATCTTTCACCATAAAAAAAAAAATTTAAAGCCAGATGGCGGTGGTGCATGCCTGTAATCCCAGCACTCGGGAGGCAGAAGCCGGGGCATCTCTGTGAGGCCAGCCTGGTCTACAAGAGCTAGTTCCAGAACAGGCACCAGAGCAACCTCGTCTCAACCCCCCCCCCTCAAAAAAAAATTAGGGACAGCAGGTAAAAGCACACAACAAGCAACCCTAATGACCTAAATAAAAATCCCTTGAACTCCAACTAACTCCCCAAAACTCCTCTCATCTCCTGATAAACCCAATAAACCAAGTATCTCACTCTCTTTCTCCACCCCCTCCCCTTTTTGGCTTTTTTTAAAAATATTTATTTATTTATTTATTATGTATACAATATTCTGTCTGTGTCTATGCCTGCAAGCCAGAGGAGGGCACCAGACCCCATTACAGATGGTTGTGAGCCACCATGTGGTTGCTGGGAATTGAACTCAGGACCTTTGGTAGAGCAGGCGAAGCTCTTAACCTCTGAGCCATCTCTCCAGCCCCCTTTTTGGCTTTTTGAGACAGAGTTTTTCTGTGTAGCCTTGGCTGTCCTAGAACTCACTGTGTAAACCAGGCTGATCTTAAACCCAAGAGATCTGCCCGCCTCTGCCTCCAGAGTGCTGGGATTAAAGGTGTGCACCACCACCAGCCAGCATGAACCAAGAATCTTACATAAAGAATGATAACTCTTGACACTTACTCAACAATCTTTACAGTGGGTCTACAGGATGCACGGCACTGACGCAGAGAATTAAGATGAACACAGCAAAGGCCTTACAATTTGAAACACTGAACCAAAGAACATGGCTTATAGAGACTGAATTTTGAAATGTGCCTTGAAAGTATTCATTTAAAGGAAAGCAAGAAATGAAGGGCACTGGGATAAATTCCACAGAAAACCAACGACTTCCCAGGGTGGCTTTGAACTTACTATGTAGCCTGGAAAGCCCTGAACATCTGATCCTCTTGCCTTTACCTCCTGAGTGCTAGGATTTCAGGTTTGTATTACTATGCCCAGCTTATACAATGCTAGGAATATAATCCAGGGCTTCAGGAAGGCTAAGCAAGCACTCAAATGAGTTCTATCCCAGTCACAGGTAAGACCCTTCTTTACCTAGTCTACAGTCAGACCTGAAACTTCACCCTTCCATTACTTTCGTCTCTCAGCAAGAATCAGAAGTGCTGAATGTTCAAATCATTGAAAGAAGTTCATTTCAGATTAAGGCAGAGAACCAAAAGCAGTGTTCACAGTAAGTACTCACATTAAGGGTACTCTGATATGCACACCCTTTCTTTTAAAACGCCACAACTGGAGGTGTAGCTGAATAGAGCACTTGACCAGCATACCCAAGGCACAATAATGACAACAAGCCGAATATACAACTCGTTTGTTTCTCTACATAGCCAGAAAAAAAATCAGACTGAGGTCATAGTTTGGCTTGCATTAACTGGGCTTGACTACAAAACCTTGGAAAACTCAGGATAGATGAAAAAAGAGAAGCCATGTAGCTCAGACTGGCCTAGAATTCATTATATAGCACAGATGACCTCAAACTTGCAATCCTCCTGCCTCAATATCCCAAGTACTAGGATTACAGATATGTGCCAATGCATCTAGCAACAAAGTGGAAATTCTATCGTATGAGGTGCAATGTGGAGGCAATAACCCTGATGAGCCGGTACAAACTTGGTATAAGACAGTAAAACCACTCATCCTACTGTGCCCAGTGCCTCCTGGGCAGAACTTGTATCTCTTAAATACCAAACCACTGTAAAATTAGAATAATGTACACTTATCATTGGGCAGTGTGGCTCCCACCTTTAATCCCAGCACTCAGGAGGAAGAGACAGGACAATCTCTGTGAGTTCAAGGCCAGCCTGGTCTACAAAGTGAGTTCCAGGACAGGCTCCAAAGCTACAGAGAAACCCTGTCTCAAAAAACCCAAACCCAAACAAACAAAACAAGAGTTGGTGATGTGGCTGGCTGGAGAGATGGCTC